GATGCCTGCAGTGTGGAGAACAGCCTTACATGAGCTCCAGCATCCAGAAGCAGCTTCACACTGTGTTTGGCCCTGAATACAGGCCTCATGGAGGGGTGTAATTGAGTCCACGGCCACAATGTTGACAGATGCTCCGTTCTCAATTAGTTTTTGGAGCTGCACAGCTCTGCCCTGAGCTGCGGCTTCATGCACTGCCGAACGATCGGTCCAGAACCCCAGACCATGTGCTGTGGGTAGAATGGAGAGACAGACAGAACTTCAAAACATAGCTTTAGATAGCTGTTATTGTAGATATAAATGATTTCCAAATGATGCATCAGTTACGTAAAGTGCAATTTATACATCGTTATATTTATATATATATATATATATATATATATATATATAACAAAGGAATTTAATTCAGCTCAACACAACAACAAATGGGCAAGTGCAACAAGTTAGATGCTCTGTAAAAGTCTTGTTGTACTCCATTTAAAGAAGTGAAGGTGAATTACAGAATTCTGGGAAATCGAATTTAGGACATTTAGCCATTTCAAACACTGCTGATCATCAGTGTTTTTATAAGGGATGTAGCAGTGTCATGTACCTGTCTGGTGTCTAAATTATCTTCTTATTTCATTGCACAGTAAAGGAACATTTCCAAAGGACACGAACAGGACAGTAAAAACTGACTCATCCATCTGTTGACTCAGGTCACACTGATCCAGGGCTTTAGGAACCTGCTAAGTGTCATTGGTGACTGATTCAAGGCCAAATGGCATGTGATCACAATACAGTTCTGGCAACAATATCTGTCATCGAGCCTTGCTCTAGGGCTAGGCAACTATATAAAAGCGTATCATACAGTTACAGTGAACTCTGTCCTGCAGAGTCAAATGATTACCATACTGCTGGTTACTTGCAGTGTAACAAGTCTCATATAACAGGTCAGACATCTTACAATCTGCAGGTTACTTACCAATATCACCAAAAAGCGAAGGCCTTGTGCGCGTTATTTCAAATTCCATCATTTACTCCTATTTATAAGAGAATAAAAGAGGAATATGTGCATCATATCTAAACGGCATGAGTCCCAGCTATAGTTTACAAACACTCGACCTGATTTCAGTTCAGTGGCGAATGATGCTGTAGTTGTAATAGAGACATTAAGTCATGCAGGGGGCGCATTGTGGCTCAAAAAGACGAATTCTCGTTAAGCCGCAAATATTTTTTTCGTCTTATTTTATACATTTGTCCATTAAAATCGTGATAGTTTAAAAAGGTTCATTTGAAAGACTGGTATCTGACATATATGTGAAGCCGCGCCAGCAGCTTCATCATTACCGAATTATCAAACGTCTGTGATTGGTCCATTTTCATCAGCGCTGAGAAAAGTAACATGTACCACGTGACAATGCGCGTATACTTCGGCCATAATCTGAAGGATAATTTACCTCTGCATGTCATTCTTAAAATATAACAGCAACTGAATTAGAAAAATTAAAATTATTTATGAAAACAGCATATTTATATTAACACCAAGCAGCTCATTGAGACCCATCGTGTCTTTTTTTTTTATTGCATAACAAGAACAATAATAACATACATATACAGAGGATCACAATGTATTCATCTATTATCTATTACATTCATAATAGCATCAAAGGAAACAACAGAAAGAGAAAAAAAAGAGAGAGAAAAAGAAAAAAAAACTATACAGGGGAAAAAACTTACAAAAAGCTCCAAAAAGAAAAGGATTCAAAAATTCTATACATCCGTTTCGCTTTTTTATTTCTTGCATCTTTTAGGGCCTCAATATAATGCTTAAGTTCAATTTTAAATAATATAATGTTAGGTTTATTATTATTCCATTTCTGTTTGTGTATATGGTATTTTCCATATATAATTAAGTTAATCAACAAATTTTGCTCCAAAATATTATTTTTATATTACAAAAATATATCTTTACCAGATAGTCGAATCTTTAATTTTGTGAATTTGAATATTAGATATTCAATGTCAATCCAAAACGATTGGGTAAATACACATTCAAAAAATAAATGTTTTATGGATTCTTCTTCTGAATTACAACAGACGCATGTAGTCTCCATGTCTCTAAAGAATCTTGAGACTACTTGTCTCACTGGATAAATCAAATGAATAACATTATATGTAATTTCTTTAACTTTATTGGTGAGGCAGTATTTACTGGGTCCATTGCCTGATAAAAGTTGAATAAGGTCACTAGGAATGGCATCAAATACTACTGCAAACTCTTTAGCAGTTAGTTACAGGGATCTTATAATGATTCAGGAACTCACAGTAATTAAAGAGCTGTCCATTATTCGTAAATAACTGCCTCACCAAACTTATACCATTGTTGTACCAATTTCTGTAAAATAAAGATTTATTTTTAAACTTAATATATTTGTTGTTCCAAATCACAGAGTTGTGTGGAGAAAAATTATGCTTAAAAATGAGCATCCATAATAAAAAAAACCTGTTTATGAAAAGAAGAACGCTTTATCGGAACCTTGTTTACATCAAAATTACACCTCAAAAAAAATCTAACCTCCCCCCCCCCCCATTTAATACTACTGCAAACTCTTTAGCAGTTAGTTACAGGGATCTTATAATGATTCAGGAACTCACAGTAATTAAAGAGCTGTCCATTATTCGTAAATAACTGCCTCACCAAACTTATACCATTGTTGTACCAATTTCTGTAAAATAAAGATTTATTTTTAAACTTAATATATTTGTTGTTCCAAATCACAGAGTTGTGTGGAGAAAAATTATGCTTAAAAATGACCATCCATAATAAAAAAAACCTGTTTATGAAAAGAAGAAAGCTTTATCGGAACCTTGTACACCTAAAAAAAAAAATTCAAAACCCCCCAACTTATCAAAAATTAATTCAGGGATGATATTCCAAATCTTGTCTTTAGAGTTCAAGTAATTCTTTATCCATTTGTTCTTAAATACACAATTAGCAGTATTAAAGTCAAGTACATTTAGACCACCATCTTCAACTGGGTTGCATATAACTGTTCTGTTTAAATAATGTGGTCTGTTCTTCCAGATGAAATTGAACAAAATATACTGAACAAAATTATAAACGCAACACTTTTGTTTTTGCCCCCATTTTTCATGAGCTGAACTCAAAGATCTAAGACTTTTTCTATGTACACAAAAGGCCTATTTCTCTCAAATATTGTTCACAAATCTGTCTAAATCTGTGTTAGTGAGCACTTCTCCTTTGCCGAGATAATCCATCCACCTCACAGGTGTGGCATATCAAGATGCTGATTAGACAGCATGATTATTGCACAGGTGTGCCTTAGGCTGGCCACAATACATTTGATGGCGTCTGGCAATTTGGAGAGGTGTTCTCTTCACGGATGAATACCGGTTTTCACTGTACAGGGCAGATGGCAGACAGCGTGTATGGCATCGTGTGGGTGAGCGGTTTGCTGATGGCAAAAACAAAAGTGATGCATTTATAATTTTGTTCAGTGTAGTATCCACCTCTTTTATAACAGATTGTTGAACGTCTAATGCAATAGAAGCATGACAACCCTTCAGTTTTGGATAATAATATTCTTCCTTTTAATGATAGATCTCTCGTTAACCATGAGTTTAATTTTTCTAATAATTGGTGTAAAATTTAAATTATTTCTCTCCTTTTGGTACTTACAGATCTTAATACCTAAATATCGACCCATCATGTCTGAAAACGTTTGGGCCGCCAAACTCCGCCCATTTTGAGAGTGCTACGGCTTTATCTTGCGCAAGTCTGAAATTTCGGGTTAGGTCGCGACACTGTTTGGACTGCAGGGGCAAAGACTTAAAGCCTATCATTTTTTTTCCTTCAAGGACTGGTTTATTTCATGTGCAAAGCGATGATGCATATCTAGCAATGACGCGTATAAAAAAACCAAGTAGTTGAGCAAAAGAAAAATTACCTACTTGTCAACATATAGTACCATTCACAACAACAAAAGAAATAATTCTATGAACATTTTCAGGCATTTCAAAGTAATCAATATTAAAATGTTTTCAGTCACGAAGATCATCATTGAACGTCTAGTCAAAGTTTTCCTAATCCTTCAAGCGGCTTCATTAGTGATGTTGACAAAATGTCTTCAAAGTAAGTCCAGATGCCTTGACTTAAGTCTACCACACAAACCAACAATACTTTCAAGTGTACAAGTGGGTCCAAAAGTTTGAGACCACATTGAAAATCAAGGTTTTGAATCTGGAAATGTAAATATAATAATATAAATAATACAAAGAGAAATAATCAAAAAGCAAATGTGTCCACTGCAGTGCACAAGATGTTCTTTGGAACATTCTTAAATCATCCTGGATCACGTTCATCAGTTCATGTCAGCTCAAGTGCTGCTGTCATTAAAGCAAAAGATAGATCTACCAAATACTAAAAAAAGTTTGTTTTTTTTCTTTCCAACTTTTCAATTTTTGTGCTGAAAATATCATTATACACATATATTACATAATACAAAATAAAAGCATTCTACAAGTTGTCTCACACTTTCAGACCCCACTGTATGTCTCGGGAAATTCACTGAAGAAATACAACACATAAAATGTCTTTTCACCAGATGATCCTTCCTCATTTTACAATCCTTCATACATAAAAAGACACATTCTTTTAAAGGAATAGTTCACCCAAAATGACAATTCTATTCTACATATTGTTCCAAACCAATTTTTTTTTCTTTTTTCTGTAGAACACTAAAGTACAATTGGTTGAAGAATTGGTACACAATTCTTGCCATACATTGCTTGTTGGAGCTTGACAGGGGGGTAAGTAAATAATGACAGAATTTTCAGGTACTATTTGGGAACTAATTTGGGAACTATTCTTTCAGAGTAAGTGAGCAGCATTGCAATGACTGAAGCACTTGTGTGCGCACCACTGAACAAGAAAAGCAACAATCAAAGGGCTAAAATCATAACACTATCCATGCGCTGGCCAGCAGTATCCATTAAAGCAACTAAACATCAGTGGTGCGGAGATGGTCAAGACTGTCAGGAAAGTCTGTGTCGCTGGGAGCGAGTTGAGGCTGGGAATGGTGCCGTTGTCGAGTTTGTCGAGTCGTTGACTGAAAGGCATGGCCTGTGTGTGAGAGTGAGGGGAGAGAGCTGTACGGCCCTTCTCTTTGACCCTCCTGATTGGGCACTGGGGTCCATGGCTGCCACGAATCTGCAGTGGAGCAGGACTTCACAAGCTGAGGCTTCCTCTGCCCAGAAAATACTTTGCTGGAAGAGCGCAACTGTCAATCAAGAGAAGATAACTGTCAGAAATGCTCATTTATTGTTATTGTTTTTTTAGAAATGTCCTAAGGTACTGTTTTTTTGGAGAGAACAAAAAACACATTTATAAAAAGAAGTTACAATTGTTATTAATTTTGTAGAAGTTGATGTGATGTTAATGCATTTTGTGTTGCATTGTGATAAAAATGTAGTATTTATATATTATATTATTATAAATTATAAATATTATATATAATATTTGATTTAATTATTATAATTGCTCGTTATTATATTCATAAAG